AAATGTCCATCTAGACCCGAACAATTCACAAATTGACCAGTCTTCATCTAGGGCTGCATCTTCTTTCACTAGCTTGTCTGCTATTTCGTTCCACTTAATACCACTATGTGCTTTAGCCTTGTTTAATATTATTTTGAGCCCTTTAAACTGAATTGTTTCTACTATCTTATCTACGATTAAGTAATTCTTTAATTTTACTCGATACTCTAAAGCTTCTATTTTCTAATACTTTCTAGATACTATATATTGCAACCATATTATTCATATTAATCTCAACTATACTTTCTGAGCATGTTGTTAGTAACACACACCAGATCGCTGCTAGTTCAGGTCTTGATAATGAAAGCCATTTTTCTACCCTTATATTACTTCTAGTAACTTCTGCTTCAGATTAATCTATATATGTTTGTATCTACCCTGCTTCCATTCGTGGATTCGTTGTTTGGATGTATCAAAGATCCATCTGTAAAGAATACTGGGTTTTTGGTTCTTTTTTATAAGTTAAGATTTACATTCTCAATTAACAACTTTTTGATTTTTTGCTTAAAGTGCTGATTTTTAATGAAGGTGATGTCTATATTTTCAATTGGCTGCAGCTCTACAAACTTCTCTTCTATACCTTGCTCAAAAACAGTAGATGCAAAAAACCAGGGTGCAGGGATCAGCATAGACTATTTATTCTCTTTCTTAACAATGCTTTTAACTTGGCGAAGGTTTTGTGTTATGGACTTCTTGCCTACATATTGATTTGCTTCATTTGCTATATTTACACTACATTCAGTATATTGGTGCAGTAACTCTGTGTTGTAACCGAGCTCTATTAGCCAGTGTTCAAAGTATGTGTCTTCACCTTTAGCATCTATAGCACGACCAATTACTGGAACTGTTGAATCTTGATCTTTTAGTACTATCCAGGGCTTGCATCTCCTGTCTGTTTTTGATTTTTCATACTGTACTGAGAGATACATCAGATTTCTGTGGCCTAGCTGATATTTTTTTTCCAGTATTCTTTCCTCTGCTGAAACCAGAACCTTCTTTTCTATTTCACTAAACCACCAAGCTTTCTTTCTAGTTATACATTTACTCTTCAGAGCTCTGAGCTGTTGCCATGTTAGGAGTGTGTTGTCTTCATAATCGATTATTTGCCGTAAGTAAAAAATTTCTAATTTGATGCAAGAGTTCTCACTCTTTTCAAATACTTTAGGTGGTATTAGATCCTCTATCATAGGGCCTGTGCCCTTTATTTGCCACCCTTGTTTATCTGTACTAAGAAATGCTTCAAACTATTTGCACCTTTCAACTGTATTATAGACGATGTTGCCTCTTCACCTAGTCTTGCTCATCTCAGCAACAGTACACTTCTAAAAATCTTGGCTTATCCCTTTATGAAAGATATCTTGTCTAATTCTAAGCCTTGTAATTCTACCTATTGTGTCTATATTATTTAGGCTCTTTAGTAGCACAACTGCTTGTCTTGCTATGAGTGTACTAGTAAATGATCAAAACTCTAGCATGCTATTATGCAATATAATATTGTTCGAACATGTTTGAGCTATTCCCAACTTTCTTTTAAACAAATATAGCATTGGTTAATGGATCGCTACAACTTCTCTTTCTGCAAGTAGGACGACCTGCAAGATATACTCTAATTTGGGTAACAATACCTGATTGTTTATATAAACTAATTGGCTTGCTATAACCTTCTTTTTCCCTATTAAGTGCGAAAAAAGGCCCACTATCTTTTGGCTTTCTTTTTGATATTACCTATTTCTATTGAGGTGTGAAGCATAACACCTAAGTACTTTACATTACAAAGCTTTCTTTCTGCTATGATTTTTATATCACAAAAGTTTATAAACCTTTCCTGTTTAGCCAAACCTGAGTTAACCACTACTAGCTTGGATTTGTTTTCATTTATCTTAATATCATTTAAATTAAAAATTGTTCGGTCAAAGCTACTATATGTTCCAGTTGTTGTTTCGAATTTGCTAACTAGGCTGTGTTATTGGCATAGACTAGTGCTGCTTGTCTGATTTTATCTGTATGATCCAACTCTATCAATGTTTTCATTTTGTCGTATGGTTTAAGAGTGTATCCAAGTTCTTCGTCTTTCTGTATCTTGTTAAGCAAAGGATCATAGAAAATTCTCCAAATTAAGGGAGAAATAACCTCCTCTTGATCTATACTATCTTCAGCAGTAATCTCTTCAGTGAGGCCAAAATTTGTAATTATTCTGAGCTTTCTGTCTCTAAAAAGGTTTAGGATGAAACTACAAATAATCTGTAAGACTTTGATTCTCTCAAGAGCTTTTTACAACATCTCAAGATTTACTGAGTCATATGCTTTTTTTATATCCTAGAAAAGAACCTATAACTCCTTATTCCGCTCTTTAGCCTCTTCTATTACTATATTTAGAATTTGAATTGGCTTTTCAGTTGAGTTGCCAGGTAAACCTGTGAAGTTCAGACCTTATAATATTGTTTTTTTATTTATAATCTTGCTGAGACGCTTTGTTAACACCTTGGTTGTGTATTTGCAAAATGTTTCTAGCAGAGCTATTGGGCGTATCTTGTTTAGATCATACTCCCAATCCATTCTCTTTGGTATTAAATACACCTGTGCAACTTTCCACTTATCTGGTACTGCCCTACTGCATATACACAGATTTGCAAGTTTTTAAAAATCACTTGTGTCCTATTGTTTACCTGCTTGATAAATAAGTATGTAATTGTTGAGATCCCCGGGGCTAAGTTCAATTTGCTATCTCTTAATACTGCTTCCCATTTTTCTAATTCAATTGGCTTGAGTAATGAGTTGTACCAACTCTCTTGTACCCATGCAATAGGACTGTATTCTTGGTGCCAATCTCTGTTCAGCAAGGCTATATTTGTGTTTCTTTTACGAAACTGATTTTGGAAGTGCTCTTTAGTAATTCTAAACATCTCTTTTGAGTTTGTTCTAGCTGGGCACTCTCTGCCTCTTCGGTATACACTTTGTCAATTGTCATCTTGGAAGTTGATTTTTTTAGCAAGCTTGTTAGCATTTGTTTTTGTTCTTTAATGATCATTTGTGCTTTTCTTTCAACACACACTCTAATTTCTTTTTTGATTCGCATATTCTCTTCAGTGACCACTTTACCTTCAAAAGCTTTCCACCATACCTTTGCTTCTTCTAACCAGCTTTCAGTAATAAAGTCTGCAACTAACGTAATCTTACTACCTGTTGACTTGTTTATTTTTTCCAAACCTCTATTCTATTGCGATACTAAGCTGCTATTAGGTGGATTTTCTGCTCTTTTAATATCTCTTATAACCTTTTCCAAATTTTGTGCAGCTGTCAACTACAAGTTTTTTTTTCTTTTTTTTCTGATAGCTCTCTTTAAAAGCTAATTTTCTTATTTGAGAGATTTTGCTTTGCTAATTTAATAATAGCCTTTTTAATTATTTCCCATACTTGGTTGACTCTATTCAATATATTTGGTGAAAAAGCTATATTTATGTCTATATAATGTTTTTTTAGGAAGAACAGAATCTTGCTATCTAAGAGCTTTCACAGTATTGCTCTATAATTCTGCCAATCCTCCTCTTTTGTCTAATCAAGTAACCACTTCGTTCACACTGCTAAATATATCTTACTTGATGCATCCTCTTTTGGGTTTCTGTGTAGTTTTATTTTGATATTAACAAAAGCCACCTCATGATTGCTACCTATAATTGTTTGCATTTCAATGATGTTTGCTGTCTCTACGTGTTGAGCTAGACAGTTCGCTACCCAGATCTGATTTATTCTTGTTGCTATTGCAGAATTACTCTATATATATATTTTACTTTCTGGGTTGCAAAATCTGAACGAGTTTTTGTACTCTCTAGAAATTAGCCACCGATATAAGGGTAGATTTTTTTGTATTGATGATGGCCTTGCCCAGTCTAACTGTGAATCTACAACATGATTGAAGTCTTCTATTAAGATTATAAAATTTGTTTTTTCATAAAATATAATCTTGTTATGGATCCTAGCCGAAACTTCTTTTATCACTTCGCTGTTGTTTGGTGGGAGGTATATCACCATGACTAAGAGCATGATGTCGTTTGGTAAATAAAAGTTCACAATTAATAGAAATTTATTTATCTTTTCTACTTTTTCAATATATTTCTCTATTCTTTTGCTAATAAGTAACCCTATATCTAAACTCTTAGATTTATTCATATCTGCACAAATCCAAATTCCTCAGTAATTGTCTCTATCTTTTATTAAAAATTTTTCTGTATGCTCTTGTATATTAGTCTCTGTCAAACCAATCAAATTGAAACCTTCTTGTGCAGCCCATACTAAAACCAAATCTAACTGATAACTATGTGACTTTAACCTATTAATATTATATACCGCTATTTTCAGAACCCTATCATTTTCTTCTATTATACTCCTTCTCTGCGTTGGGAGGGTTTAGGTATACTCCTCCTCTTTTTCTGGAACCTTTTTTCCATAAAGACACCTGTAGCAACTTTTAGAAGTGATTCTGAGCTTCTAGGCCACCCTGCCTTAGCTCTATTGTATTAAGTCTTTGAAGAATTTGCTCGAAGATCGTGTTTTGAATATTTTCTTTTTGCTCTATAATGTGAACTGCTGTCTCAATTTGCATTTCTGTAGTTGCTACTTTTCTAGACTTCTCCTCAAAATAACCTGAGGATTTCTTGATATCACAAAGAATATTTTTTTTACTTCTATTGCTTTCAGATAGTGATATAATTCTCCTGTTTGGGTGAGGTGCAACAGCTATATTTCTAGAAGCGGTTGACTTGTTAGCTTTTATTTTCTTCCTCTTATCTGCCAAACCCTATGCCTCATTGCTTTTTCTTTTGTTGTTACGGTTCTCTAAATTGTTATTATATTTAATCTGTGTTTCTTTGCCTTTGTTACTTGCATATAGTCTGTGTTTGCTTTGATCTGGTTGCGATATTTCTCTATCTACGTCATACTGGATGCGAGTAAAAACCTTGTTTTCACCTCCTTTTATAGGCATTTTCCACTCCAATTTGGTGTTATAGTAATAGAAAACTGATTTTTGTGCTTGTACTAAGTCTTTTTCAGTTTTAAAATACATATATGCCTTTCTGCACTGATTACTATTTCGATTATTTAGTATATGCACTGTCTGCATCTTAAATCTTTTTAACTGTCAGAAGCAGACTGTCGAAGGCAGATGTTGGTATATTGTAGATCGTGCTTTTGAACCTGTTTTGTTCTTCTAATTCTTTAATGTTGAATTTCCTGGGTGTTGTTTGATAAGTTTTATCCTGATTCAAATGTATTGACCAATTTTCTTTTAAAGAGTTTTCTCTCTTCTCTATGCTTGATATGATCTTGATAAAAGCTGTTTTGGTAGTAAAGTTATGTTGCCATACTAGTATTGTTACTTTCCGAAATGTCTAAGAAATTTCTTAATTCTTTCTCTACTCATATCTCTTGGGAGGTCCCACAAAGTAAAAAAATATAGTGATTTATGTGTATATTTTTTTGATATATATTCACCACTTGGAGCCCACATTGAGTTATAGATATCCTCTTGTTTTTTGAACTTTTTCTGTTTGTTTTCTAACTTTGTAGACCTTACTTTGTTACTAGCTAACACCTCTTCGAAACCATAGTCTAATGTACCGACCTTATTTTGAATAAGTGTATCTATTCTTGTCTCTTGATTATGCTCAACTAAGTCACCACTATTTTTCTGTTCTACTAGACTTCTTTTATAAGAGATATCATTGTTATTGCAAGTTGTGTTATTGCCGTAATTTTCAGATATAATTACAGGTTTTGTGTAATTAATTTCCATGTCTGTGAGGCTTAGATTAAGTTTATCGTTTTCTTTCTGTGTTATCTCTATACTATTGCTCTGCCCCAGTAGGATTTTCTTCTCATCAGATAGTGTATCCTGCTTAAACTCCTTGTTTCAGGCCCAATTATATCTTTCGACAACTTCATGTAAAGCTGCTATAAAATGTACATTTTAACAACCTAAAAAATCTGCAATGTGATTGTCTTGTTTAACTAAGGTTGAATTTTGTTCCTTATATAATGCTAGTTTCTCCTCGTCAGTTTGGTTAAAGAAGTTTCTGTACTTCTAGAGTGCTGGCATTGTTTCTATTACGTAATTTGTGTACTGGAATGATATTTACTCTAGCTTTTTAACTTTGGCTTAAGCTTCAATTAAGTCATATGTTTTATGTGTTTTACATGTTTTTTATATGTCTTTACGTGAAATGTAGATTGTTGATTTCATGTATCTTTGTGTGGCTTTGTGTGATAATCTTGTATTGCACCAAAAATCTACACTACAGGGTTAATGCTATTTTTCCTAAAATTAAAGAAGCGAGCAATATTTTTTTAAAAACTAGAGTGTCTTCGTGTTTTAGCACTTCTATATTGAAAAATATTAAATTTGGCGTTCTATCTAAGCTTCTTCTACTGCGGAACTGACTTTTATTGCTTATACAATCTTCTGTTTGATTTTTTTATATTCTGCTTTTGAAATTGCTCTGACTGTGTTTTTTGGAGTTTTGCTCTTTTTTACTTGCAAGTTGACTAACTATTGTGAAACTACCTTGTGTCTATGTATTTTTTGGTTGTCTGGTGTATTAAGTACTGTTGTGTTGTCTTATAAATTGGTAAATGGCCACTTTTTCTTCTTACTAATTTTTGTGCCAAGTGATTGACGAGAAGAGTTGATTTTGTTAAATTGTATATAAAAAAATTATATTAGCTATTATTAATTTGTTTATTTATTTTATTTCTTACTTTTGATGGTTAGAATATTGATTATTGTTTCTTTTTTGGCTACAAGGTATTTTTAAAAGTGTTTTGTTAATTTTATTTTTAGTTTTAATTTTTGTTAAATCAAAAATCATTTTACGAAAATAATCAAATATCTAATTTAAAGTTTAAATCACATGAAGAAAAATTTTACAATTGGATAATCAAGATATACAAATAATATTTTTAAGGAGTTAATTTTCAAAATTTGGTAATCATTCTGATGTAGACTACTGGTTAGAATATTCATTCTGGAAGCAAAGTAACCCGGGTTTGAAACCAGTGAGCAGAGCTATCCTTTCTAAAGTACTGATCTCATATAGGATACGTGATAACCACTCGGGGAATGATATATCAGAATGAGAATTTTTTTTACTTTATTTTGTCTATTTATTATTTTATTATATTGTTATTATAAATTACTTATACAGTATTTTGTTAGTTTAGATATTTATACCTGGTATGTATAAAATAGGTCTGGGCGAATGTCACGGGCTAAAGGAATATTGATGAATCAGCGCAGCAAACTCATGACATCAAGCAGATTGATCATCAGAATTTCAGATCGACTAGTATATGAGACTTACCGGCTAAATAATGAAAATGATAATTATGTGAAATCCAAAGAAGAATTCCAAGAAGAATGAATGAAGATCTAAAGAGAAGAAAACAAGAATCAAGAATCAATTAGAAATAGTAGTAATAATATAAATATTGTAAAAGCAAAGCCTTAATTATTATAATCATGTTGTACTTATTGTTGTAAGCCCCTTAGTTATAGTGATCTTTCCCTTGATCTTTCATGATGAAAGATCTGATTTATCTGATTTATCCCAAAGCCTCTTGAGATTGTAAAAATAACGAAAGTTATAAAAATCCTGTAATTTCCCTCTTGTAAAGATAGGTCCTACGGGATTCTAATATTATTCATCTATAACACTTAATAAATCACCTTGATAATATCATTTTAAAACTAAACTATTGCTAAATCACCATCGTCACGCCTCTGGCGAGTTGC